GGAATTTTATGAATAGAATTTCATAGATTGGTCATTTCAGAGTTACTTTCCTAGTTAGGCAGGGACAGAGAGATAAATAATAATCTGATAATAAATAATTAACATCAGTTACTTCAGATACCTTTTTGAAGATTAAACTTAGAGAACTTCATTGAAACTAACTTTGGAAGTCTGGCTTTTGTCTCCTGATTTCTTAGAAAGTCAGCTAACACTTTACATTTAATGACATGAAATATGTAGTAAGAGTAAGTCTGTTTTTATTTTTAGTGGTCTTTTGGGACCTAGTACAGGAACTTCATCAAAAGCGATGACCTCCTGTAATTTTTATTTAACTCTAGTAACTAATACATTCTGTTATTTTTACATTAGAATCCAAACCAATGCTCCATGAAACAGTAATATCTAGGAAATGTTAATAGATATTTCTTAAAAGGGATTCTTGGTTTAGTAAATTTGACAAATAATCTATAATATATTTTCCTCTTAAAGACTTGCAATATGTATTTACATATTAAACATACAGTATCTTGAAGCAAAGAAATTTTTTTTTCAATTTCAACATTTCCCAAATATTTGTCTACAATAACATCTTCTCTCTCTCTTTTAAATAAGAAGTGTTTTCCATCAAGTCCTAGTCATTTTAGGAGAAGAAAGTTATTAGCAGGAGAAAAAGCCCCCACTTTCTACATCTTCACTGTAGAGATACTATTGAAAAAAAAATCCAGGAATTATACCAAAATATGGCACTAAAGAATGCTGATTATTTTAAATTAAAAGAACTTAATAGCAAACACTGGAAGAAGCTGTCTTCTTGTCTGCTTATAGTCTAAACCCCTAAGGAAGAAAACAGCTACCTCCATATCTCTTCCCTGAGCTGCCATTAATTAAACTCACATCATAGGAAAAGAAACCAGAGATTGTTGACATACTTAGTCACATACCATCATCCTCTGTTTCATTCATTTACATATTATGAGGTGTTCTGCATGCCAGCTACACTTTTTCCCAGTCCGTGTATTTCCCTAGAAGTCATTTATTCGTCCCTTGACATTCCCTGTCCTCCACTTCCACAAAGAGGTATATAAATTTCTAAATAGTGGGTAATAATAATTCAGATAGTTTTGAGCTGGTAGTTAACCATATTCCTGTAAATCCCCTCCTCCATGAATTTTGTGTGTGTGTGTGTTAAAAAAAAAATGTATGCTTTTTCTCCTATTTAATTTTTGTCAGTTTATTCCAGTGACTCTTCAGAGAGTGGAGATTTCCCTTCACCCCTGCACATGTGTTTCTATATGCAACCAACATCAAGAATGGGACCCAGTAAATCTTGAGCAGTAGAGGCCCACCCTATAATCTAATGGAGAAATAGGGTCAACAAAAGAGAGAAAATAGATTTCTTATAGATAAGATATAAGAGTTTTGGCATCTTATTTTAAATTTTATTCCAAAAGCCCTTGTAGTTGACTGGTTTATATCAACAATTTAACCATAATAACTATTAATGTAACTACTAGTTACATATTATACTAAAAAAGGATGAGTGCTGGCTTATTTTAGTTGTGTTAAAGGTAAAATTCATATAACATTAACTATTTTAAACTGGGAAGTTCAGTGACTTTCAGTACATTCACAGTGGTGTGTTGACTACAATATATAGATCCAAGACATTGCTATTACCTCACAGTAAACACATTAAGTAGTGACTCAAATTTCTCCCTTCTTCCTACTCCCTGACAACTACCAATCTGCTTGACTTTATGGATTTATCTACTCTGGCTATGTGGTTTAAGTGGAATCATAGGTTGTGATCTTTTTTATCTTGCCTCTTTTACTTACCATAATGTTTTGAGGTGCATCCATGTTGTAGTACATTTCATTACTTCATTTCTTTTGACAGTTGAATAATATTCTGTTGAATGTATATAATACAGTTTGTTTATTTGTTCAGCTTTTCATGGACCTTTGGATTGTTTCCACCTTTTTATATGAATAGTGCTATAAACATTCATGAAGAAGTATTTGAGTTTCTGTGTCAATTTTTAAAATTTATTTTAGCTGATACATATGAATGTAAATATTATACAAATTAATGGAGTAACATGTAATATTTTGGTACATGTACACATCAGATCAGGGAAAACATGTCTGTCTTCTTATGATTTCTTCATGGTGAACACTTTCAAAATCCTTTCTTAAAAGATTTTTGAAATGTATAGTATAGTGTTTCCTGTAGTTAATTACCCTATTATGTACTAGCATATCATAACTTCTTGCTTCTAACCTTATCTTAGTGCCTACTGATCAGCTTTTCCCCCATCTCTTCTTTCCTTCTTTACTCTCCAGCCTCTGATAATCACCACACTACCCTCAACTTTAATGAGAACAACTTTTCTAGATTCTACATACAAGTGATATCATGTAGGACTTGTCTTTTTAATACTGGCTTATTTCACTAAGTGTAATAATTTCTGTTTCCATCTATACTGATGCAAATGACAGGCTTTCATTATTTTGTGGCTGAATATTATTTCATTGTGTTTGTGCCATATTTTCTTTATTCATTGATCAGTTGATGACACTTAGGTTGTTTTCATTTCTTGGCTGTTGTATGTTATTTACTTTTTGTGTGAGTACTCCAAGACCATGGTAATATAGATGTCCCTTTCACATAGTGATTTCATTTCTTTTGGATGTATACCTAGTAGTGAGACTGCTGGATCATGTGGGTCAGCTTTTATTTTTTAATGGAACCTCCATACTGTTTTCCATAATGGCTGTACTAATTTACATCCCCACTGAGGGTGTGTGAGTTTCCTTTTTCTTCACATCCTCATAGACACTTATCTTTAGTCATTTTAATAGTAGCCATTTTCATTAGGGTGAGGTAATATTTCATTATGATTTAAATTTACATTTTCCTGATAATTAATGATGTTGAACATTTTTTTCATATACCATGTTCTTTTGAGAAGTGTCTATTAGGTCTGTTGTGCATTTTTAAATCATGTTATTTTTATTCTTTTGTTTTTTTGCTCTTGAGTTCTTTGGAGTTCTTGTGTGTTCAGGATATAAATCTCTTGTCAGATATATAATTTGGAAATATTTTTCCAGTTCTATAGGCAGTCTCCATTCTGTTGCTTGTTTCTCTGTGCATAAGCATTTTGATTTGATTTAATCCCATTTGTCTATATTTGCTTTTGTTTTCTGTGCTTTAAAGGTCTCCTGTTTAAATTCTTTTGGGTAAATATGTAGGAGTGGAATTTCTCTATTATAGGTTATTTTTAGTTTTAATCTTTAAGGATAACCACACTCTTATCCACAGCAGCCAGATCTTTTTACATTCTTACCACGAGCACACAAGGGGTCCAGGCAACACATCTTTATGGACAGTTTGTTCTCCTTTTTTTTTTTTTATTATAACCATTTGAGTGGATGTGAAGTGGCTCCTAATTTCCCTAATGACAAATGATGTTTTAGATCTTTTTTATGTGTTTGTTGACTCTTTGTATTTTCTTTGCGAAAATGTCTATTTAAGCCCTTGCCCCTTTCATATTTGGGTTGTCTTTTGTTCTTGAGTTATACAAATTGTTTATATATCCCAAGTACCAGATTCTTATCAAATATGTGTTTTTCATTCATTTTCTCTCAATCTATAGGTCATCTTTTCACTTGATAATGTACTTTTTGAGGCATAATACATTCATTTTTATTTAGTCCAATTTATAAGTTTTTTTCTTTCATTCATTTCTTTCATTAAAAGCTTATGCTTTTAATGTCATATTTGAGAACTCATTGCCAATTCTGCGAAGACATGAAAATTTACATCAGTGTAGTCTAAGAATTTTATGACTTTAGCTCTGATATTTGGGTTGTTGATCTTTTTTGAGTTAATTTTTGTACATGGTGTGGGGTGTTCTTTACCATGTGGATGTCCAGTTATGTCATTTTAAGAGACTGTTCTTTTTCTTATTTTTCATCTATCTCTATTGAAAAGATGCTCCAGTGAAGTGGATAATATCACTGGTTCAAGAGACAGAATGCTTTGAGTCCAAATGTGATGTCATCACTTTTACCACCTATGGGATGTTGGCAAGTTATTTAACTTTCCTAACACTCAATTTGTTATATATAAAATAATGCAAAAATCAACTCTATAACATTTTGAACATCAGATTTGTAATATGAGTGAAACACTTAATAAGATTCCTGACAATAAGAAATCAATGTTGGCAAAATTAACAGTGACATTGTGTTCCTTTTAAGATATTGCTGTTATATTACCCAAATATAGCACATCAATCCTAGGTTATATGTCAATTTTACCAAAAGTGGAAATAAAGAATCCAAATGTATTGAGGTAAGTTAAAAAGAGATTATGATTGAGTGGACACATACAGTATATCAGGGCATTTTGTGAATTATTTACTCCTTAAAACAATCCCTATTTTATTAACAAAATGAAAGTTTTAGAGTGTTAGCTAAATTTGCCAAGATATAATTAATTGTATAATAAAGTGATAGAAGTGTGATGCAAATCCACATCTGCCTCATTAAAAGGTTTCATTATGTTATGACTTACTGTAGGAAAAAAAGGCAATAAAATATGAGACATGCCTTTCTTTCTGAAATTCCTATACCACTGGAGTAGGAGAGATGGTTTGTGTGTGTGTGATATGTATCTACCATATAAAATCATGTACTAATTAAAAAAGGGAATAGTTCATTGTGATGTAATATGCACTTATGGTTAAACCTCAGACTATCATATTTCCATTTATCTTCTGTCAATTCTTTATAATCAGTATTTATAATCCATGGTTTACTATTTCAGTAATTTTTAGTGTATTAAACTGAAGGAAAACATTTTTAACATCTAATAAAGCAAGGCTTTTTTTTTTCCTATTACAATTTCTTAGTCCAGTATTTTAACGAAGTAAATTGTATAATGATAAATTCGCTTTTTTTTTTTTTGTGTGTGTGTGTGTGTGTGCTTCTTATAGATGTAATAAAGGAACAGAATCGTGAGTTACGAGGTACACAGAGGGCTATAATCAGAGATCGAGCAGCTTTAGAGAAGCAGGAAAAACAGCTGGTAAGTAGAACATTAAATTTCAGTTTAACTTTTCAAACAAATTTGGAAGCTGGTGTCAGAATCATTAGCTAACCAGGAAAAAAGCACATGGCAGGTGGTAAGTGATTTACTTCACTTAGAAATGACATTTAATGCTTTCCTGCATTTTCTGCTTACGTTCATTATGTTCTGCTTTCATCACAATTCTGTGTATTCTTCTGAATATAGAATCAGATTATTCCTCAGTTTGTGAAAATCAAAAAATGCTTCTCAAATAGAATTACCTTCTTTTTAGTTAACTGCAAAGATAAAATTGTCACAAAAAAACAAGAGAGTTATAGAAAAGTTAAATTAATTCAGAGGTGTCTTATGATATTTTAAAGATCACTGTGTTTGTGGCAGTGAATACCATTTTTTATAAATAACATATTATTGATGTTTCTAAATGTATATTGCTTCAGATGTTTTTCTATAAAGCAGTTTTATTGAGAGTATAATTGACATGCAATAAACTGTACATATTTAAAAGGTACAGTTTGATATGTTTTGATATAAGTATTAACACCTGAAACCATTACTGCAGTTTATGTAATGAACAGAGCCATTGTCCTCAAAAGTTTTCTTATACCTTTTGAAATACCTTTTGCACATCCCTCCCTTTCTTTCCTCAGTGAGGCAAATACTGATTTGTTACTGTAGATTAATTTATTTTTCTAAAAATTTATAAAAATGGAATCCTATCTGAACTCTTATGGCTATTTTCAGCATAATCATTTTGAGGGATTAATATTGTTACATGTATCAGAATTAATTATTTGTTATTCATGAGTATTAATCCATTATGTGGATATTTTTCAGTTTGTTTATCCATTTGTTGGCCTATGGACATTTGAGGTTTTCCTGGGTTTTAGGCTGTTTTGAATAAAGTTGCTATATACAGTCAAATGAAGTTTTGTGTAAACATTTATTTTCATGGGGGGTTTTCTAAGAATGAGTTTTTACTGGGTCATATGATAAATATATGTTTAACTATTTTGCAAAGTACCTCTAATATTTTCTCTTCCCATTAACAGTGTAGGAGAATCACAATTTTCTGGTAGGAACGCATTTCCTAATTCACAAATGATGCTCAGTATCTTTTTATGTACTTTTTGGTCATATATTTATCTTCTTTGTGAAAGCTCCTATTCAAGTACTTTATTTTACCCATGTTTTTTCATCTAGGTGTTTTCTTATTATTCAATTGTGGTAGTTCTCTATATATTGTGGATATAAATGCTTTATTCAATGCATATTTCGGAAATAAGTTTCTGGTCTTTTACTTCATTTTCCTGTATGTTTGGGGGGAACCAAAGTATTTTATTATTATTTTCTTCTTTGACTAGTGCTTCTAGTGTCTTATGAAATCTTTGCCTAACCCAAAGGCACTAATACTTTCTCTCATGTGTCCCTTAGAATTATCATAGTTTTAGTTTTTACATTTAAAACTGGGAACCATACTGAATTAAACTTCACCTTGGTGTCAAATAAGGTTCGAGGTTTTTTGTTTTTGTTTTTTTGCATGTGCAACTTGAGTTGTTCCAACATGATTTGTTGCTGAAATCTTTCCCTTATCATTTTTATTGAAAATCATGTCCAAGCATGTAGGGGCATCTCAGGGCTCTATGCTGTTTCATTGAACTATCTGACTGTATGTAAGTCAATACCACACTGTTTTTACTAATATTTTTGATGGTAAGTTTTCAAGTTTAACAATGTTAATCATTCGACTTTGTATTTCTTTTTTACATAATTGTTTAGGCTATTTCAGGTGCTTATATTTCCATATGAACTTTAGAGTAAACCTGTCAACCACAAAAACAATTAGATTTTGATTGGAATTACATTAAATATGTAAACCCTTGGGAAGAATTAACATTTTAACAATAATAAGTCTTCCTATCCATGAATATTTTATGTCTGCATTTATTTAAATCTTTAATTTTTCTCAGCAGTGGTTTGTACTGTTAAGTATAGGTCTTGTACTTCATTTTTCATATTTATCCCTAAATATCTCAGTGTTTGCTAAATTTTTATTTTTTATCATTTTTAAGAACAAATTTAATTTCTGACATTTTTCACTAGTATATATACAGACACATTAAATTGTTGTGTGTTCGTTTTGAATCCCATAGCCTTCCTGAGCTCATTTATTCTTGTAGCCATTTTGTAGATTTCATGAGATTTCTTTTTATTTCCAGTGGTATTTTTAAAAAATTTATTTATTTTAATTAGGCATATACAACAGCAGAATGCTGTTGATTGTACACAGAATGCTGATTCATTGTACATAGTTGCAGCACAACTTTTCATTTCTGTTTGTACACGATGTAGCATCACATCATATGTGCAGTCATACATGTACCTATGGTAATAATGTCCATCACATTTCACCATCTTTCCTGCCCCCATAGCCCTCACCTCTTCTTCCTCCCCTTTGCCCAATCAAAGTTCCTCCATTTTTCCTATGCCCTCCCCCATTATGGATCAGCATCCACTTATCAGAGAGAACATTCGGCCTTTGGATTTTGGGGATTGGCTTACTTCACTTAGCATGATATTCTCCAGTTCTGTCTACTTACCTGTAAATGCCATAATTTTATTCTCCACTTTCTTTATCCATTTATCTATTGAAGGGCATCTAGGTTGCTTCCGCAGTTTACCTATTGTGAATTTAGCTGCTATAAGCATTGATGTGGTTGCATTACTCTAGTATGCTGATTTTAAGTCCTTTGGGTATAGATCAAGGGATAGCTGGGTCAAATGATGGTTCCATTCCAAGATTTCTAAGGAATTTCCATACTGCTTTCCAGAGTGGGTACACCAATTTGCAGTCCCACTAGCAACATATAAGTGTGTCTTTTCCCTCCACATCCTCAGCAACACTTATTGTTGTTTTTATTCTTGACATAACTGCCATTTTGACTGGGGTATGAAATCTTAGAGTAGTTTTGATTTGCATTTCTCTAATTACTAGAGATGTTGAACATTTTTTCATATATTTGTTGATCAATTTGTATATCTTCTTCTTAGAAGTGTCTGTTCAGCTCCTTGGCCCATTTATTGATTAGGTTGTTTGTTTTTTTTTGGTGTTAAGTTTTTTGAGTTCTTTATATATCCTGGAAATTAGTGCTCTATCTGATGTGTATGACAAAAATTTGTTCCCAAAACGTAGGCTCTCTCTTTACCTCATTGATTATTTATTTTGCTGAGAAGAGGCTTTTTAGTTTGAATTCATCCCATTTATTAATTCTTGATTTTATTTCTTGTGCTTTAGGAGTCTTGTTAAAGAATTTGGTATGTCATCTTGACTCATTAAAACTTTACATTTCCTTTTCCAATCTTTTTTCCTTATTTTTTTTCTTTTCTTTTTACACTATCTAGAACCTCTTATAAAATATTGAATAGAAGTGATGTTAACAGACATTTTTATCTTTTTACTGAATTTAGAGGGAAAACATTCAGCCTTACATGATTAAGTCTAATATTACTTACAGGCTTTGTATAGATGCCCTTTTCCAGCTTGTTCAATTTTGTTTTTATCTAATTTGCCAAGAGTTTTTTAATCAGGAATGAATTTTATTAAGTTTCACTTGGTATTTTTTGCATCTATTGAAATGATTGTGTAGTTTATTAGTCTGTTAATACAGTGAAATACATTGATTTTTCAAAAGTTAAAACAGAGCTGGACACAGTGGCACACAGCAGTTTGGGAGACTGAGGCAGGAGGATCATGAGTTCAAAGCCAGCCTCAGCAAAAATGAGGCACTAAGCAACTCAGTGAGACCCTGTCTCTAAATGAAATACAAAAAAGGGCTGGGGATGTGGCTCAGTGGTTAATGTCCCTGAGTTCAATCCCCAGTACCAGAACCAAAAAAACCCAAAACAAAACAAAACAAAACCATAAAACCAAAAACAACAACAATAAAAGTTAAAATAGCTTTTTGCTCCTTGGAATATACCCCTCTTGGTAATGATGCATTTGTTCATGTATTTTCAACTTTTTCAATTTACTGAAACTTTGTCAAGAACATTGCATTTATGTTCATGAAAGATGTTGATTTTTAGTTTTCTTTTTGGTGAGATATATATGTATACACACACACATATACATAATTATATATTTGTGTGTGGGTTTTGTTTTTTGGTTTTTTTTGGCTGTTGTAGTAAAAATGCTGAACTGGCACATGTCCTTTACCGTTTTCTTTACTAAGATATTTGTGTATTAGTTTCTTAAATATTTGATAGATTCATCAGTAAAATCATCTGTGAACATCGTTTTCTTTGGGAATAGCTTTGTAAACTACAAGTTATTTTTTATTGTAAGCAGATATCTAATGGGCTAATTGGGCTATCTCTTATGTTGAAGGACCTTTTTTTTTGAATATATGAAGTAATTTGTCAATTTCTACTAAATTTTTAAGTGTAAAGACATAGTGATGTATGTAATATTCCCTTGTTACCTTTTAGCATCTTTAAATTAGGAAGTGATGTTCTCCTATACATTCCTATTATTTATAATTTATATGTTCTTTGTCTGCCCTAGTTATTTGTTATTTTCCTTCACCAGTTTAGCTCATGGTTTTTTGGTTAATCTTGTAAAAAAGAAAAATAATTTTTGCTTTCACTGATTTTTCTGTACTGATTTTTTTGTTTCCTAGCTTATAATTTCTTTCCTATTTATGTATTTCCTTCTTTTTGTTACTTTGAATTCATGTTTTTCAAATATAAGCTCTAATGCTATAAATTTCCTGAGAACTATTTTAATTGTAGTTTACACATTTTGATGTTGCTTTTTTATTGAGTTCAAAATACTATCTTATTTTTACTCTGATTTTCTTAGCCCATGACTTAACTAAAAACTGTGTTTTTAAATTTCCACTTAAGATTTCCCTTCCATATTTGCATTATTAATTGACAGTTTAATTTCTTTTGTTAGAGAATGTACTTTGTATAATTTCAGTCTTCCTAAATTTACTAAATCACTTTGTGATATAGATATGGAATATTTCAGTAATCATTTAGTATATACTTGTAAAGAATGTGTAATATACTGTTGGTGATAAAATTTCTTATAAATGTAAATCAGGTCAAATGAGTGATGATGTTTTAAAGTCTTCTTTATCATTACAGATGTCTTGATCACAGTATTCCTTCCTTAGCTGTGGTTTCACTTTCCATTGTTTTGGTTACCCATGATGAACTGTGATCTGAAAGTATTAAAGGAAAATTCCAAAAACATAATTCATCAGTTTCAAATTGTACACTGTGTTAGTAACTTGGTAAAATCTTGTACCTTTATACCATCTAGCTCTGTTCCACTTAAAAATGAATTTTCTTTTTGTCCAATGTATCACACTGTATATGCTACCTCCCCATTAGTCCCTTCATATCTGTCTGGGTTATCAACTCATTTGTAACAGTGTCAAAGTACTTGTGTTCATATATCCCTTATTTTACTTAATAATGAGCCCCAAGTGCAAGAGTAATGATGGTGACAATTCACATATGCCAAAGACAAACTATAATGTGCTTCCTTTAAATGAAAAGGTAAAAACTTATCATAGATATATATGTACAGGGGAAAAAATAGAATATATAGGGTTTGGTACCACACACAGTTTCAGACTTCATTGAGGACTTTGAAACATCTCTCCTGTGGATAAGGAGGGACTACTATAATTTTAACAATTATAGCTATGTACTTGAGAGAGGAGATAATGATATCTCTTATGCTATTTGTGTTTGTTTCTTCTTTAAATCCTGTTAGTTTTGCTTCCTGTATTTTCAAGCACTGTTAATTAGGTGCATATGCATTTATGATTGCCTTGAGATCTGTATTTTTTTCCTTTATTATCATGAAATGCTTTTTTAAAATTTCTGATAATATTCCTTGTTCTCAAGTGTATTTGTTTTGTTATTAATTATAGCCATCCAGATTGGCAAACTTGTGTAAATATTTATATAATTTTTATTTTTTCACTTTTTAATCCAAATTTGCTTTTATATTTAAAGTTGGTTTCTTGAGGTAGCATGTAATTGGATTAACTTATCTATCTAATCTGACACTTGCCCTTTTAATTGATGTATAAGATGGACTGTTTCATTTAGTGCAGTTATCTATATTATTACTATATTATCATCTTTAAAACAGTCACCAAATATCTGCCTACCTACTTTTAGACACTTTTAAAACATTTTTTTTCTGTGTTCTATGTATCTCCTGTTTTGTAGACTTGCTTTGTATTCATAGATGGAGACGCTAGTTCTCCCCTTCCCATGTGAACATATAGATATAGAATAAATAGCCCTCTCAAATTACTTTTCCTCTCTATGTCCTTTATGACAACCTCTTCCTTTTAGGGAAAAATAATGTATAACTTATTATAGATCTTTTCTTCTGAAATGAGTCATTCAGAACTACCCCTTGATGATTTTATTTCCCTCCTCTTACTTTTCCCTTTTAGGAATTAGAAATTAAGAAAATGGCAAAGATTGGTAATAAAGAAGCTTGCAGGGTTTTAGCCAAACAGCTTGTACATCTACGGAAACAGAAAACAAGAACTTTTGCTGTAAGTTCAAAGGTTACTTCTATGTCCACACAAACGAAAGTGATGAATTCCCAGATGAAGATGGCTGGAGCAATGTCTACCACAGCAAAGGTCAGTGGGAGGCTTTGTGTCCAAATTCCATCAAAGATATGTAAATATTAATATTCAAATCAGATTTCTAAGCACCTTCTGGGGTGTGTGTGTGTGTGTGTGTGTGTGTGTGTGTGTGTATGGTACAGAATTCTAGGCCTTAGTAATTACTCTGTATTGTTTGTTGGTATGTTTTAATATAAAATAAGGACATTTCCGCTTTCCCAAGATCACATATAGTTTCTAAGTTTATAATAGTTCCTTAAAGCAGTGTTAACTTTTTTCCACAATTGTCAGATCTTGAGGCTGGGGTTGTAGCTCAGTGGTAGAGTTCTTGCCTCCCATGTGTGAGGCACTGGTTTTGATCCTCAGCACCACATAAAAATAAATAAGCAAATAAAGAGATTGTGTCCATCTACAACTTAGAAAAAAATTAAATTGTCAGATCATTGGGATTCTCATTTCATTAAGTTGTCATTTTTTACTACTTTCTAGTAATAATTTCTTCTTGATTCACTTTTATGAATGTATTAGAAGGATGTATGGATAGTGTCAAAAGGATTTATCAAATAATGTTTTTTCAGGAGTTTTATATTTTAACTATATATATGTAACATAGCATATATATTAACACACACATATGGCTTTCATTGTAGAGTTTAAAATCTGAGTATATAATCATTTAATAAGTAATGTCCTTGATATGTATCAAACACTGTGAGTAATCAAAAATGGTTTTACAAAAAGACTTTGCTTTTGCAGAGTTTGCAGTTCAGCTTGGGGAAGCATAAGGTATATCTGATAGGAAACTTGCTGCCATACATTAGTCTGTATGAAGCTTTGTTGAACTGCACAGATCTTTGAGTAGGATGGTCCAAAGGACTTTGTAAAATACCTAGTCTTAAAGGAATTATGAGGTGTTAGATGTAGGTAAGGGGGAGTATGAATATAAAGAGCCAAAGGGAAAAAATCCAGAGAAAATTATGAGGTATATATATTATGAAAATGATATGTGTAGTGGGGTCTCTTTATTAACAGTAGTTATAGTCTGTGAATTCGGGAATAATGAAATAGCAAATATTGCACTATTGCTCTTATGGGGAACATTGTGGACAGCTTCATGTGAGGCTTTTGTTCACAACATTTGCATTGACTAATCTATACCCAGCCTTATTTTATGTGTGTTTCTGTTTAAAGACACCATATTTAATATATATTGTCAATTTATTAATACATAGTGACAATAGCACTATGCCTCATGCATAAATGAAGCTTATCTACCTTGTGTTTTCTCTGTAAGGCACACTGTACCTTCTTTCACTTAGGAACATTAAACAGCACATTAGTACTATGCTTAGGGACTTTTTAAAGTGCAAAATCACCAATAATAACCAAAAAAAATGATAAAAATGTATTACTAAAGAGATTGCCAAAGGTATACTGATTTACAGTATGAAAGCTGAAACAAGAAGGTAGTGCATTGCCTGTTGGGTGACTCAATTTAATTTGTCTCTCTGCCCTTGTCACCATATTAAAGCATTGTAAATATTGATGTGAAGTTACAAATAAATTTTAGCAACTAGAAAAATTTATACATATGTATTCCACGAATAACAAAAATCAATTGTGATTTCTGCTTGGACTACGAAAAACATGCAAACAGAATGCATCTATTTTATGAGGTATAAAAAGTGTAGTAACACATTCTGTAAAAAATAGAGAAAGTTTCAGCATAAGTTTTGTTTCTCAGTTAACTTACTCTTGATGGATTTTAGTCATTTTACAATCAAAAGTTTGTAGTTAAGGGCAAAACTTCAGAACTTTTGTTTCTTTTTGGCCTTACAGATTGACAGTTAATATCCGTTTGATTTTGGGGAAAGATCATTTTGGAGATCACTTAGGTAGGCAGTAGTGTTAGGGGGGAACAATTACTCATTTTTTAATTTTCTGTAACTAATAGACTAGGAAAACATATTTAATATAGTTTTCCCATGTAGAGATGTCTCAGTTGGAATTCTCACTTAAATATCTTAGAAATGTGTTAACTTACCAAATATTGTTTAGGTTCTCTATGTGGCCACTACACTAGATAGTGGGCATGAAATGGAAAGTAAAACCTGGCAAGGGCTTAACCTTCATAGAGCTTAATGTCTATATAAGCGGTAGCACATTTAAGAGGTAGTAGGAAAGCTCTGCTTAGTTCAAATCTCATTTCACTTAGCTACTGTGTGATCTTGGGGATATTATTTAGCTTTTCTGTGCCTTGATTCTCTGTAACGTAGCAAAAATACCATTTAACTTTAATATTATTATATGTAAAATGCTTAGAACAGTGTCTGGCTTACTTATGCAGGCATTAGCTACTCTATCACCATCCTCCTCATTAATGTTATTAGCATTATTTACCACAATAATGTAAGTTGCAATTAAAGTAATATAATTTAAACCAACAAATGTAAAATTTTGTCTGTAGTGCTGGGTTTTAACAAGAGTGTTCTAATCTTGAGTGTCAGTGGCTGTTTCCTTATGAAAGTAGCTTCTAACTGCAGTGTGAAGTGTTGATTGTGAAGCAGGTGGAGAGGAACACTACAGGTGAGGGAAAAGTAAAGGTCTTGTGGCAGGAGAGAGCATAGTAGTTAAGGAAATAAAAGATCAGTGTATGCCTGTAAGACAATGGTAGCAAATCAGACCTCTTGTTAAATAGATTGCAGCTGATGATGGGTCTCTTTGGTAAGTTATGGAATTTGACTTTTAACACTAAGAGCAATGAAAAGGTTTTGGAGAGTTAGGTATAGGAGGCAGTGGGGGACTGGAGGAGTCGAGTGCAGTGGCATATTGATGAAAGATTACATTGGCATAGCATGAGTAGAGATTGTGTGAGAAAAGACTGTTTTTTTCTTTATATATTTGATACCAGTATATTGTCAGTGTATAATAATCTTTTAATATACCAGATTAACTATGAATAAAATACATATATATTCATGCATATATAGTACATCATATATGTAAATTGTGACTACACGAGAATAGTAATCTCTGTCTCTCTCTCTCTCTCTCTTTTTTGGTACCTGGGATTGAATCCTGAACCCATAGGGGCTTAACCACTAAGCCACATCCCCGGTCATTTTTATATTTTATTTAGAGACAGGGTCTTGCTGAGTGCTTACCTCTCAATCTCCCTGCCTTAGCCTCCCAAGCCACTGGGATTACAGACCTGCATGCACCACCATGCCCGACAATAACCTCTTTTAATGAAATGTATATATTTGTATATACATTAATGTTATTAAGTATATACAAGAATTTTTTTACATATTTTTGCAAAACAATTTTTCATAATTATTTATGGTTTAAAGTGTATTAATAGCCTGAGTAGCTATGCTAGTATAACCTCTAATCCTTTTACACATTGAAAATTTTAAGAAAAATTATAATTAAACTTCAAAATTCTTTTAAATTTAAATATGACCTACTTGCCACATGTTTTTCACTGCTGTGACTAAAGGATCTAACCAGAACAACTTTAGAGGAGAAAAAGTTTATTTGGGGGCTCACAGTTTAAGAGGTCTTAGCCCATAGAAAGCTGGCTCCATTCCTCTGGGCTTGAGGTGAGGATGAACATCATGGTGGGAGAGGGTGGCAGAGGGAAGCAGCTCATGTCATGGTTATCAGGAAGCAGAAAAAGTGAGTCTCCATTCTCCAGATACAAAATATATATGCCATAGCCACCCCCCAATTCCCACCTTTCCAGTGATACCCTACCCCTTCAGTTACCACTCAGTTAATCCCTACCAAGGGATTAATTCATTGATTGGGTTAAGACTCTCACAACCCAATCACTTTTTCTCTGAAGCTTCTTGCATTGTCTCACATGTGAGCTTTTGTGGCTGAGGACACCACATCTAAACCACAACACCATGTAACAGGTCAATTTAGTTTTCCCTTTAGAATAGAAGTAAGTTTTATATTGATAATTTTTTTGCTATATAATTTTTGCCTGCTATTCAGATGAAGTAGTTTGCACTGGTCTTTATTATGTAGATGTTAAACATGTGGTTTTTAAATGACTATTCCGTTTTTTTCTAGAATAGTTAACACTGTGTTTTAGAATGTCAGAGTATGTATTTTTTAAAAGCCTATGTATATGTGATTGTGTGATGTGCTTTCCCTAGATTTATTTCATGGTAAAAATTTTCTGTTTTGGTACTGTGGATTAAAACTAGAGGTGCTGGGCTGGGGATGTGGCTCAAGCGGTAGCGCGCTCACCTGCCATGCGTGCGGCCCGTGTTCGATCCTCAGCACTACATACAAAGATGTTGTGTCCGCCGAAAACTAAAAAATAAATATTAAAAAATTCTCTCTCTCTCTCTCTCTCTCTCTCTCTCTCTCTCTTAAAAAACAAAACAAAACAAAAAACTAGAGGTGCTTTACCACTGAGCTACAACCCCAACTTTTTTTGTTGTTGTTGTTGTTTTTGAGACAGGGTCTCACCAAATTGCTTAGGGCCTCACTTCACTAAGTTGCTGAGGCTGGCCTTGAGCTTGTGATCCTCCAGCCTCAGCCTTCCAAGTCACTGGGATTACGGACATGTACCACAGTGGCCTGGCACTCCATGGTAAAAGTTTTATAATTGTGTAGCTAACATTAATCTTTTTATATATTTACAGACAATGCAGGCAGTTAACAAGAAAATGGATCCACAAAAGACATTACAAACAATGCAGAATTTCCAGAAGGAAAACATGAAAATGGAAATGACTGAAGAAATGAGTAAGTTTCAGGAAGTTATGATGAAGTGTACAATTTTCCCATCTTTGAATTAGCCCGGTGCATTTGCTAGCAGTCTCATATTCTCATACATGAAGGCACAAATGAGGAAACAAGGAATGATAGAGCAACTATATAAATGTTTATTTTCATAACTTCAATATACATTTATATTGGCAGTGTTCAAGGCACAAAACTCTTACTGTATAACTGAGGGATAAATATAAGATGTCAAACCATATTTCTATTATATATTGGCTTTAACAGTCTTACTTTATTGATTATCATACCCAAAAAATTGTGAATAAAATAAGTGTTGGGTAAGTTAGGTAGTTTCAGAATTATATAAATTCTGTCATACCATAAAAGAGATATATGTATTAGAGGTAGAATTAATGGAACCGTTTTTTTTTTTCTTTTCTTTCACAGAATGTCATTTATATTTAGTTTTCTTCTTTGTAAGTGTATATGTGTGTATATATATGTTTTTTTTTAATCTTCTTAAGAGTATTGACTAAGCTTTATGAGGCATTTGGTTTATAGTACCAAATTCTTCACTGAAAGACCACACCAATTTTATTTTGTCAAAAATGGATGAGTAACTCCTTACAACTCCCTGGTCAATATTGAATCATTACTCATATGTCAAAAATGTGCACCACTGTTTTGGAAAAATATTTCTTGGTGATTTTACAGCTATGTAGGGATATGCCGCAGTCTGGCTGGGCACAATCAGGAGCCACTTGTCAAAAGAAACTAACTTTATTTTTAGAACCACACACGACAAACAAAATAGTCTCTCAGGAAAAACCCTCAGAGCCTCAACTGCCACCACCGGCTTTCCCCAAGCCTCTCTCTCCCCCACAAGCTTCTCCCCCCCTCCCACAATCCTCCTGCTCTTGAGGCCGATTGGCTGGGTCACGTGGGCGGAGCCAAAAAAGTCCCCCAATGAGCAGCTCCGTGGTCTGAAAGGGCAGGGAAACAGTCCAATGAGCATCACCGCAGAGGAGCCAATCAGCTAGATGTTGCTGGGGCCGAGGAGCCAATCAGCTAGATGTTGCTGGGGCCGCTGTGAGCCAATCATCAGCCAGCAGCTGGAAGTTTGCTGGCAGCTGGAAGTTTGCTGGGGCCCCTTTGGCTGTGGCTCTCAACATCTCCCCCTCTCTGTTTAAACAACAAGCATGTGGCTTAGGGACCGTGCCTGTTAGGCAGTCCAATTCAACATATGGTCCTTACCCGTCATCGGATGAACTGACCTCTAGGCGTCAGCCTCCTGTCTTAGGTTGGTACCACTGCAATTGGATCATACCCGTCACTGACTACCGGTCCAGCATACAGCCATACTTGTGGATAGGCCTTTGCACCTGTGGGGGGGTGAGGTTCTTTGCCTCACCTCTGTTGGCCCCCAAATTTTAGACCATCACTAGTAGAGGAGGATGCAAAATGCCATGACATTAAGCCAATTGAGGGCTCCTTTGAAAAATTGTACCACCGGTGACATCATCAGCAAAAATACCCCAACACTACCACAAGTCACTGCACCAACAGATAGTTCACAATGCATACAGGTGAGCTCACAATGTGTCCAGGCAAGTTCTGCAAGCAGTTCAGTGATGGCTATTGTAGAAGCTGTAGATTGGTTTTATCTTTGACTTCACCAGCACTGGGATGAAGATAGGAATTCTGGCAATAATGGCTAAAGAAAAAATTATGTAACATTACAGAAGGCACTAAAAGAAAACAATTTTCTTAACAATTTACATTGTCTTCACCGGCACTGGGATGAAGATAGGAATTCTGGCAATAATGGCTAAAGAAAAAATTATGTAACATTACAGAAGGCACTAAAAGAAAACAATTTTCTTAACAATTTACATTGTCTTTAAGAGAATTATTAAATATAATGAAAAGGAAAGGTGAAAGTAAACAAACAGATCTGTTAACCTTCTTTTTTGTTTACATATTAAAACAATCCTCAACAGTTGTTTACCCAATTTAAATTAAACCATATAAATCACGTGAAAAAAAAAAATATTTGGATCCATTTTATCATGAGCGCTCATCATATATGATATATGGACATACGTACATTCAAACATATAACACAAAACACAAGTGTGCACACATAATATAATACATACAACACATAACATTATAGTAAAGGCCTTATAACTTTTTACAGGTGAAATCTCCATTGCAATGTTTAAAAACTCTATAGTCAAAAAATAGAACTGATCAGCAAAACATTAACCTAGGTCTGTATGAGCTCAAAAAACAAAATAGAACTTCATGATATGGCAAAGGGCAATAATAAAATAGATATTGAAAAAAGCATCCTGGTTCTGTTGCAGATGTAAGAATAGCCAAACTGGAGTTTTGGATATCAGTTGTTATGGATTTGAGCCAAATCATCTTCTTTTTGGTCTGTAGAAATCGCTTTAGTTAATCTTTCTGGAATCCAAATCGGCTGCTGTTCTCCCTGTGGAAACACATAAACAGACCCTCGACTCCAGACAATCACTGGGTCAGGACCTTGGTTAATCTCTCTGGAACCCAAATCGGCTGCTGTTCTCCCTGTGGAAACACACAAACAGACCCCCGACTCCAGACAATTACTGGGTCAGGACCTTTCCATTGTCCTGTTAGAATATCCTTCCAAAGTACCTTGGGCTTATGTACATTTTTTGGACACATATGCCTTTCTGCAGCACTAAGTCCTGATGAATCCAAATTTAAAAAGTTTAGAGTAAAAAGGGTTATTTTAAGTTTATCTTTGGGGAATATATACCCCTTCCCAATTCCTTCTTTTTGCTTTAATAAGTACATTTTAATAGTTTGATGAGCTCTTTCAACTATGCCTTGTCCCTGTGGATTGTATGGGATTCCTGTTATATGAGTAATGCCAAATGTTGAGCAAAATTGTTTAAAAGAGGTAGAAGTATAACCAGGGGCATTATCTGTTTTTAACTGTTTTGGAACACCCACAGTGGCAAAATTTTGTAAGCAATGAGCTATAACATCTTTAGTTTTTTCTCCGGCATGAAGGGAGCCCATCAAAAATCCAGAAGAAGTATCAACTGTAACATGCAAATATTTTAATTTTCCAAATTCTGGCAAGTGTGTGACGTCCATCTGCCAAATATGGTTAGGTATCAATCCTCTAGGATTGACTCCAAGATTAACTTGTGGTAAAAAGGTCACACAATTTTGACATTGTTTTATTATTTGTCTAGCTTGTTCCTTAGTTATTTTAAAACGCTTTTGTAAAGTATTAGCATTGACATGGAACTTTTTATGAAAATTTATAGCTTCTTCTAGTGTAGAGAAAATATGTATGTCATGTGTAGTTTTATCTGCTAAATCATTGCCCAAACTAAGGGCTCCAGGCAATCCTGTATGTGCCCTGATATGTCCTATAAAGAATGGATCTTTTCTGTCCCAGATTAGACTTTGTATAGTGGAAAGCAAAGAGAAAACAGTAGAAGAAGGGGAAATCCTACCAGCATCTTCAAGAGATACTATAGCATTAACTACATACTGACTATCAGAAAATAAATTAAATACAGAATCTTTAAACATCACAAAAGCTTGTAAAACTGCATTAAGCTCTACCTTTTGAGCTGATTGTTTGGGTACTAAAAATGTAAAAGTTTGATCAGGGGTAACGACTGCTGCTGTACCATTATTTGACCCATCAGTGAATATATTTGGAGCATTCATGATAGGTGTTTTTCTTGTCATTTTTGGAAAAATTACAGGATGCAATGACCAAAAAGACAATAAAGGATTAGATGGTAAGTGGTTATCAAATGAAACATTAGATTTGCACATGATTATTGCCCAAGTATTTAACTCATTAGCTAACTCATCAATTTGATTCATAGTATATGGAGTAATAATTTTATTGGGAGAAATTCCAAACACTCCCTTTGCTGCTTTTATTCCTTTGAGTATTAATTGTCCTACAGCCTCAGGATACCTAGTAAGAATAGTGTTAGGAGAATAAGATAAATGTATCCATAATAATGGACCTTCTTGCCAAAATACTCCTGTAGGAATATTTTTTGTTGGTAGTACAATAAATAATAAAGGCAAACTTATATCAATTCTATCCAAATGCATATTTTCCATATATGTTTCAATGATTTTTAATGCCTTTCTTGCTTCAGGCGTTAACATTCGGGGTGAATTTGGATCTGATGGACCTTTTAGGATATCAAATAAAGGTCCCAACTCTCCTGTTGGTATACCTAAATAAGGCCTTATCCAATTTATGTCTCCTAATAACTTTTGAAAGTCATTAAGTGATTTGAGTTGATCTACTCGTATTTGAATTTTTGGTGGACGGACCATGGTTGAGGATAATAGAACTCCTAAATAATTAATTGGAAAATTTAATTGTACTTTATCTATTGCTATCTCTAGATTATAATTTTTTAATAAGTTTGTAAGTGTGGCATAACATTCTAGCAATGTGTTTTTATCTTTGTGTGCTAATAATACATCATCCATATAGTGAAATATTTGTAGTTCAGGATTTTGATTTCTAAGTGGCTGGATTACTTTGTTAACATAAATTTGACACATAGTTGGGCTGTTAGCCATCCCTTGAGGGAGTACTTTCCATTCATATCTCTGATCAGGACCTTCATGATTCAGTGCAGGGATAGTAAATGCAAAACGTGGACTATCCTCAGGATGAATTGGAATTGAAAAAAAACAATCTTTAATATCTATAACTAAAACATACCAGGTTTTTGGCAAAGCAGACAACTGAGGAATCCCTGATTGAGCAGGTCCCATAATAACCATCTCATTATTAATGGCTCTTAAATCTTGCAATAATCTCCATTTACCAGATTTCTTTTTGATGACAAAAATGGGAGTATTATGGGGAGATACAGAAGGTTGTATATGTCCTTCTGCTAATTGTTGTTTGACCAGGTCATGGGCTGCTTGTATCTTTTCTTTAGTCAGGGGCCACTGAGGAACCCATACTGGTC